TTTTTATTTTTTTTTTAATTATGCAAATAACGCAGTTGCAGTTTTTTTTATTTCCTGTTGTGGCCGACGTGTGTTTAGGGTTGGCGCGTCTATAGAGGCGACCTGCCTTGGGCAGCAGAATAGCGATTGAACCCCCCAGTCTTCACATTCATCCGCTACACCCACCCACTCCCTCACGGCCCTCGGCCTTCCATATGAATAAAATGGCATGATTGCCGTTTGCCTAGAGCGCCAGTTCAGCTTGCTCTGGCCCTGCGTGTGTTAAACATGCAAAGAAATATGGCATTTCCTCCAGAGTTTCATGCAATTTCATTTTTAATATTTAGACTTTAACTGCAGTTCGGCAGCTCACTCTCATTCAGCATATTTTCATTTAGGATGTTTTATTGGAATTTGATAACACATGGCGAACGGAAAGAAAAACCTCCACATTTCGGGACTCGCGTGGTCATTTAAGATAATCAAAAATCGCTGCTTACATGGTCGACTCTTGATCAGTATTATCTTAATTATCAAAGCTGAGTATTGGTGTCCATGTGAATGAAAGTTCCAGATGAATTCACAAGCTGTCAAAAACATTTCTCTGCCCTTAAGCTGCGTCCCTCAAATGTTTCATTAACTTTGATGTTTTCCCCCTTTTGTAAAGTGTCTGCTTCATGTTCCTCTTTCAGAATCCTTGCTTTTTATAATACACCCATACTTAAGAATGCTTAGTTTAAGCAAATTTGAAAAACACGCTCGTGCGTGTTGATGAGTTTGAAGGGATCCCTCTCGCTCAACGGGACTGCGTGCGTTGTTTCTCTGTGTATGTGTGTGTGTGTGTGTGTGTGTGTGTGCGCGCGTGCTTTTGTGTGTGTGTGTGTGTGCGTGTGTGTGTGTGTTTGTAGTCCACTTACAATCCAACATGGAAAGGAGTTTTGTTTGTTATTTGCATGGATTGTTTTGAAATTTAAATGGCACTTACATACCTTTGTTTTTACTTGAGTAATAAATACGGCATTTCGTGTTTAATCATGATAAATGATAGATGAAAATAATAAAAAAGTGTGATTTATCACGTTAATTTTTTTAATCATTTGACAGCCCTAAAATGTAAATATGAGTGATGTTGTATTGTCTTTTTATTACATCTCAAAAGAGAGACTGTTAAAAAAAACATATTAGTTTTTACAAATGTAAGTGTATTGAACATAAAGCAATTAAGTTTTTGCAAAAAAACTCAATAATTGTGTTGTTACAGCTAATTTAAAATGGGTAGTTTACAATATTTTATTTTTTTTAATTTATTACAATACTATCTTAGACAATCAATCCAACAACCTCTAGTTAAAGGTATCATTATTTATGGTAAATGATCTGCATTACCTTTATTTGTCTGCCATCTTCCAACAAAAGGCCCAACATGCCCAGCAAACAGGCATTTCTGCTCCCAAGGGCCATTGTCACCTTAGAAGTGGATTCATTTTTTATAAAATTGCAATTCTATTAAGCAGAGCCTTTAGGCCAGAACATTGCATGAAATATGTGTGAAATAAATTACCAGTGAACCATATGAGGGTGTTTTCCAACTGTTCAGTGATGAGCGCCTGCATGATATTGCCCACAAGTGAGTCCATGTCACTGAGACTGGCTGTGTAGGGGTCTTCAGTTGTGACATTTAGGAAGGTGTTATGGAACAGCGGCACATGCATGTGAGCGAGAGCCACATATAGGAGGAACGGCTGCTTCTTTGTAACACTACAAACACATAGTAACATAAAACATATAGTATTAACGGAATCATACTGTATCGCTACAAATTTTTATTTGACACCACTGTTCAAAATTTGTAATATGCAATCACTTGCCACTTTATTAGGTACACCTATCCAATTGCTAATTAACACACATTTCTGCGTCAAACCAAGCATCAAAAAGGGAAAGAAAGGTGATTTAAGTCACTTTGAATGTGGCATGGTTTTTGGTGCCAGACAGGTTGGTCTAAGTATTTCAGAAACTGCTGATCTAATTGTCTTTTCATGCACAACCATCTCCGGGGTTTACAGAGAATGCTCCGACAAACAGAAAATATCCAGTGAGTGGCAGTTCTGTTGGCACAAATGCCTTGAGATGCCAGAGGTTAGAGGATTGTGACCAGACTGGTTTGAGCTGATAGAAACAGTAACTCAAATAACCACTCGTTACAACAGAGGTATGCAGAAGAGCATCTCTGAACACACAATATGTCCAACATTGAGGTGGATGGGCAACAGCAGCGGAAGACCACACTGGGTGCCACTCCTGCCAGCCAAGAATAGGAAACTGAGGCTACAATTCGCGCAGGCTTACCAAGATAGGGCAATAGAAGATTGGAAAAGTTGCCTGGTATGATAAATCTCGATTTCTGCTGCGACACTGATACCAATTGAGCATCGTGTCAACAACATAGCCTACCTGAGTATTGTTGCTGATCATGTCCATCCCTTTATGGCCACAGTGTACCCATCCACAGCAGGATAAGGCACCATGTCATAAATCGCAAATTATCTCAGACTGGTTTCGTGAACATGACATGAATAAGTTCACTGTACTCAAATGGCCCCCACAATCACCAGACTTCAATCCAATAGAGCCCCTCTAGGATGTGGTGGAACGGGAGATTCGCATCATGGATGTGCTGCCAACAAATCTGCAGCAACTGTGTAATGCTATCATGTCAATAGGGACCAAAATTTCCAGTACCTTGTTGAATTTATGCCACAAAGGACAGTTCTGAAGGCAAAAGGGGTCCAATCCAGATCTAGTAAGGTGTAACTAATAAAGTGGCTGGTGTGTGTGTGTGTGTGTGTGTGTGCGTGTGTGTTTGTGTGTGTGTGTGTGTGTGTGTGTGTGTGTGTGTGTGTGTGTGTGTGTGTGTGTGTGTGTATCAGAAATTCACTGAAATTCTGAAATAATGGTACAGTTTCAAATGACCTTTTTTTCATTTAAGTTCTTAAAAGACTTCTACCTGAATTTTATAAATGTAATCTATGCCTTTGATTACAGAAATTGTTTCTGTCATACATACTAGTATTTTTTTTTCATACTAGGATTCTTTGAAAAATCAATAGACTAAAAAAAACTCCAAGAAAAAATTGAAATACTTTGACCAGTAAACTTTTGAACCACTACATATTGGTATCAGATGATAGCAATCCAAGATGACACTATATGTGGGTCAAAGAAAAAGCGTTTTAAATAATTTAAATGTCACATTTGTGTTTTAAATTAATAACTCAGGCTCTAATAATAACTATCATACTTTAATGTAAACATATGTAAATTATCTAATATACAAATAAATTTAGTGTTTAAGCATAATAAACAAGTTTTAATAGCTCAAAATAAATACCCATATTCTATACAGTACATTATAATGTAGAGGTGTTTTATTTTTCATTTATTTAGACAGAATTGTATGCATATACGCATACCCAACATAATTTTCTGCCATTTATCAGTTACTGTACAACATGAAACAACTTATTTTAAATGCCAAAAAACTGATAGATTTATGTGAAGAACTGGCCACAGTTACACTGGATTTAAAGCAGTCACAGAACTTAAATCTGCGTAAGTGTACTGCTGAAATGAGAAATTGATGAGACTTGTCTGCGCACAGTCCATATGATGATCTATCGTTAGACTGTGTCAAAGGCCAACACTGCAACTTTGCTTGCCCAGTACACTTGTTTACAGACTGCAGACCTTATATTGACTGATCAAAGTCTAGAAAACAGTTGCCCTTGAGAGCAGCAAAACACTGACACTGAGGATAAAACTTCTAGAACAATGTTTTAATTTCACATATATTTTACAGGGCTGTACAAGAGCTTTAATATAATTTTATAACAAAAATACTATTATAAATAGAGCATATTTTAGATAAGGTTCCAATTATTAGCTAAATGTAAGAATATATGAACTTTCCCCGACTTTCACTGACTAAAACACTGAATTTCCATGATTTGAATATTATTTTTCATAAATGTAATAGCCATTTTGAGTGCAAAATGGATAATAACTTCTGATTTTGAAAAGAAATAAAAAAACAAGTGCACCCAAGTCTTTGAAGCCATCTAAAATATTTAGTACCTAAAGCTCTTCATATTTTTATTTAATTTTTTGGCATGTTTGCCTTGAGATAAGCAGAAAAGATAGAAAATAGTGCTGAAAATAGCCTAACCATAACAATCGGCAGAATGTGAATTTTGTAATAAAAACATGATATGGTATAGAAATTAAATGAATAAAAGAGTTAAACTTTGATAAACAGAAAACAAAAAGTCACTGACATTTTGTGACTTGGAATAATACATTTATAAATAAATACATTTATAAATATAACTAAATACATAAAATTATACAGGAAATTCCTAAACAAATTTCCCGATTTTCAGTCTCAGGAATTGACCTTTTAAAATTACATAATGTTCAAGAAACTCCATGACCAGTGGAAAAGCTCTTTTTTCAAGTATTACTAATGCACATTCAGTTTGACTGGAAGGTAAACCATGTTGATATTATATTTGTATCCGAGTTTGACAGAAAACAGAATACAGTGGGAAAAATAAGCATTGGACATGTCACCATTATTCTCAGAAAACATATTTCTATAGGTGCCGTTGAATTTTCACTGGATGTAATAACAAAAGAAATCCACACACTGTATGAAAAGACATGAAATCTAATTTGATTACAAATTACATTATGTGTTATAAAATTAAATGCCACAAGGAAAAAGTATTGAACACATAAACAGAGGGAGGTGTAGAAAGGCAGTGAAAGCCCAGACAGCAGCTGAAATCTCTGAGTAGTTATTCAGCAACACTCTGCCCTTCCTCATTGTAAATTATTAAGATGAAACCAGGGTGAACATTTCATCCAGACAATGATCCAAAACACAGCCAAGGAAACTCAAAAATGCTTTCAAAAAAAAAAAGAAAATCAAGCTGTAGAATGACCCAGCCAATCACCTGACTTGAATCCAATCGAAAATATTAAAGATCAGATTTGATAGACGAGACCCACAGAACCATCAAGATCTTTACATTCTGCAGAAGTCTGTAAAAACTCACACATGAGCAATGCATGTGACATCCTTCTCCATATGAGAGGCGTCCTTAAGCTGCCATCACAAAAAAAGCCTTTAATATAAGGTATTAAATTCGTTTCAGTAGTTCAGTAGGTTCTCCTTGTGTCATTTCATTGTTATTACACATAACTCATTTTTCAGATTTTATTTGTTTTGTTTTATTTCTATGCTTGTATTGTTTGGGTTTTTAACAAAATCTGGTTCAATTCTATGTCAACAGCTTCTTTAAAAATACTATTCCCAGGAAAAAAAACATGACATGTTCAGTACTTATTTTCCCTGCTGTATATCAATTTCTATATATAATCATAGATATAGTGACATACCTGGCTGTGAAAATCTGCTGGACTGCCGCTGTTGCATATCTGTCTTTAAGGCTCCATGTGTCCAAGGGTTGCTCAATAATCTTCTCATTTTCAAACAGAGGTAATCCTACTTTGGTGTAGCATCCCTCATGCTTCCTGTAAAGTGAATATTTGACATAATTCAGTAAAGCTGGAGATGTATACAAAACATCAGACTATATGCAGTGGGGGAAATAAGCATTCAACATGTCGCCATTTTTCTCAGAAAACATATTTCTAAAGGTGCTGTTGACCAGATGTTGATAAACAAAGGAATCCATATTTGGAAAGAAAACAAATCTAATTAGTTTACAAATTAAATTATGTGTAATAAAGAGAATGGCACAGGAAAAAAGTATTGAACACATGAAGAAAGGAAGGTGTAGAAAGGCAGTGAAAGCCCAGACAGCAGCTGAAATCTCTCAGTAGTTCTTCATCAACCCTCTGCCCATCCTCTTTTTCTAAGAGCATTTGAGAGTTTCCTTGGCTGTGTTTTGGATAATTATCTTTCTGAAATATTCACCCTGGTTTCATCTTCATCATCCTGGTAATGAAGATGTTGGACTGAAGCAGCTAATATTAATTTACAATAACAACTGAAAGATTTCAGCTGCTGTCTAGGCTTTCACTGTCTTTCTACACCTCCCTTTCTTCATGTGTTCAATAATTATTTCCTGTGTCATTTCATTTTAATACACATAACTTCATTTGAAAACTAGATTTGTTTAAAATATGTATTTCTTTGGTGATGTGTTGAAATATGTATTTCAACATCTGGTGAAATTTTCAAGTCAACTGCACCAATAGAATTTTTTTTGAGAAAAATGGTGATGTGTTAAATACTTATTTCCCCAACTATACCTAATAAATTTGTTTCTTTTTTTTTATTGTAATGAAGAGTATAATAATACATACTTATTAATACTATACTGACTATGTACACAGGGAGGACAGCAGGGAAGGTCAAGGCCTGGTTTGTCAGTGCAGCCCATGTCATTACTGTAGGGAATACCCAGGTAATAGTCAAAACCTAGAGTACAAGCATAAAATAGACAAAATTATCTTGAGGAAATAGCTTAAAATAGAGGTACTGTAATACATTTACATTCATTCGTAAAAAGCAGAAACTTTTAGCTATATGCAAAATACAGCAAGGGATTTATCGTAAAGAGTTTAATAATAATACAAAGCCATTGCTAAATAAATAAATAAATAAAGGTTTTTTTTGTAAAATGTTCAAAAAAAAAGGTAAAATTTTTATATAATAAAGGTAAATAAGATACATAAAGGTAAATTTTTGTCTGTCTCCAATTGGTCACATGCCTTTAAAGGGATAGTTCACCCAAAAAGAAAAATTCTGTCATCAATAGCTGCGTTTTCAGCACCTAAAGCCAGCGAGCTAGGGCAAGCCAAGGCCAGTCGCGTTTCCACTGTCACTTCCGGGGTCTGATCAGGCCAAAGCAGGGCTTTCTCAGGGCCAGCGACTGGCCTTTTTCGGTCCGCCGAATACCTTGGGCCAAAGAGGGCCAACTAAGGCTTCAAGGCAGAGTCAAAGGAGAGGCGGACTTTGCCAGAGTCTGGTAAAGATGGTATGCCATCATTACAATAGTTTTCCGATTGCAAATGAATACATATGAACAAATAAATAAATAAGGGAAAGAAAACATATACCCTTGTAGGCTATACAGGTCTTTTTGCTTATGATCACCCTTTTGTTTCCCTTTTAAATATAAGGCTGTGGCATAAAATAATAAAGCTTTAATTGATAAGTGATATTCTTTGCTGCGTCCTCCTTTCTTCTGTTTAACACAAAACAAGATATTTTGAAATATGTTGCAATTCCAGTGTTACGGAAGTGACATTTGCAGTAAAAAGTCAAAACATAAATTCAGAGAAAGTATGTCAATTTACATTATATTGAAACATTATATTATCCAAAACTACGAACCACAGAGCTAAGCGAACAGACAAATATCGGCATGTAAGCTGTTTTATATTTTAAATGAGGAAAATAAGCATACATTATGGATGTGACCAAAAAAGTCAGCGAGTTTATAGTATACAACATACTTTGTAGAAATTCTGCTAATTAAACTGGACAACCCAAAAGAAATAATGCTAATCAACAGCATAAGAGTTGGCTCTCTATAGAACAACCATGATTTATTTTATTTTAATTTACATTTTTGCATTTATGAGAAAAAAGCTTGGTTATGGATGTGACATTTCTCCGTTATGGATGTGACAGATGTGAAATTGGCACTTGTGTGACTTTGGTAAATCAAATATATGACAGTTTGAAAACATTAACTGAGTATTTTTAATGTCCTGTAAAACACTTGCTTACACAAAAAGACTTAGAAAAGGTTTTGCTATTTTGGTAAAAATGTAATTTTTTATGGCAAGGTTGACATTTGCATGGAATTGCTCGGAAACCGGTAACCATTGACTTCCAATGTTTTTGTTTTTTTACTACTGAAGAAGTCATTGGTTACTGGTTTGCAACATTTTTTTAAATATCTTGTAATATCAACAAAAAAAGAAACTCCAAGTTTTAGAACCACTAAGGTGAGTAAAGTTTTTATTTTTGGGATGAACTATCCTTTTAAGCCAACGAAACAAAAAATGTCTAACTTTACCTCATCTTTAAACTTAAAAAAAATTAATTATAATATAATAATTAAATAAAATGAATTAAGAAATAAAAATCAATGTCATGCTGAGTCAATGTTTAAAAATTGTTTGTATAAAAATAAATGCATGATTAATTAATGATATATCTTGGTGATATGAAACATATATTGATATATATAGCAGCATTTTACCTCTATGAACAGGACTGTAAGAACCATTATGTCCAAGATGCCATTTTCCTGTTTTAAAATCAAAACAAACTCTATTAATAACTGCAACTGAAAAAAAATCCTGCAACAACTTGAGCTTGAAAGGCTTATTAGTTGCCATGGCGATGATGCGCATTTGTTAATCAGGAGCGCGTTGTTGCTCTGACAGTTCTCAGGATGTAAATTGAATTGTTCTCTCCATGTTCTTGTAGCTGCTGTGCTTACCGATCATGGCTGTGTAATAACCTTCATCATGCAGGAGCTGAGCAAACGTGGTCTCATTGAGAGGTAATCCTCCTACTGACCCTACTGCAAAATTATGAGTGACCCCATTTCGTAGGCCGTGTCTGCCGGTCAGGATGGAGGCGCGAGATGGAGAACATGTGGAGGCAGGAGAGTGGAAGTCTGTGAATCTGCGAAACAACCGACACAAAAGCCCATAATTAGACATGATCAGGAACAAAACTGTGGCATATATGGGCAAATTATAATGAGAGCTCTACCGTTTGCCCTTCAGCATTAATGAGTCCAGCCAGGGTGTTGGTGTGGAGTTGTCAGGCCTGTTTAACCAGAGGTCTCCCCATCCAATATCATCAGCTAAGATAATGATGAAATTGGGTCGTTCCTTCCCTTCAGGGTTGTCTTCTTTTTTAATATGGCTTTTGATGTGATGGAGCAGGCCGGAAAAAACAAGCAGTGTACAAAATCCCAATTGCGCCATTTAAATGTCAAATCTGAAAGATTAAGAAGAAATTGGTCATTTAAATTATGCTATTTGACTGAAGGATAGCTATATTGTGATTGATACATGACTGCATTCTGGCACAGGGTGAAAAAATTTACAAAACGATCAAACTAGTAAATCAAGATCATTTCATGCGAGGTAATTTAAGTTATTTATTCATTCATTCATTTACCTTCGGGAAGACGCAGTGGCGCAGTAGGTAGTGCTGTTGCCTCACAGCAAGAAGGTTGCTGGTTTGAGCCTCAGCTGGGTCAGTTGGCATTTCTGTGTGGAGTTTGCATGTTCTCCCTGTGTTTGCGTGGGCTTCCTCCGGGTGCTCCGGTTTCCCACACATGTCCAAAGACATGTGGTACAGGTGAATTGGGTAAGCTTAATTGTCCGTAGTGAATGAGTGTGTATGGATGTTTCCCAGAGATGGGTTGCGGCAGGAAGGGCATCTGCTGCGTAAAATATATATGCTGAATAAGATGGCGCCGCTGTGGAGATGCCAGATTAATAAATGGACTAAGCCGAAAAAAAAATGAATGAATGAATGAATGAATGAATTAATTAATTAATTTATTTATTTTCAGCTTAGTCCCTAAGTATTTTTCAGGGGCCAACACAGCGGAATGAAACGCCAACTATTCCAGCATATGTTTTACACAGCGGATGCCTTTCCAGTCACAACCTAGTACTGGGAAACACCCATACACTGTCACATTCACACACACACACATACACTATGGCCAGTTTTTGTTTATCCAATTCACATATACTGTAGCCTTTGACTGTGAGGGAAACCGGAGGAAACCCATGCCAACACAGGGAGAACATCCAAACTCCACACAGAAATGCCAACTTGCCCAGCCGGTACTTGAACCAGTGACCTTCTTGCTGTGAGGCGACAGTGCTAACCACTGAGGCAAAAATTAAAGTTAATGAAATATATAAATTAAAACTCTAAAAGGATTCTTTACTTGCAAATTTGTTAAGTCACATTAAATAAATGAATTACCATTATATTTAATATAATAATAATAACATTGTTTTTTAAATAAATAAAAAAGGAAGTTATATAAAACAAAATGTAATTTTATTTCCAAAGCGTTATTTCTCATTTTTATTTATGTTAACTTACTAAATTAATTAGAAATGTAAATAAAATAAAAAGAAACAACACAATTAGAAAATAAATAACTATAACTATTGGAAACTTTAAACTTATAATTAATTAATTCAACATTAAACTATAAAACTATACTATAAAATTTTAAAATATTTAAGTATAAAAAACAGCTATAAATACTTAAACAAAATAACTAAGTTAATCACGATGCGCTAAGATAGAAATTAAAAGAAACAGACATATATAAGAAAACAACCTTTATAACTATTAAAAAACTTAAAACTATATTAAAAAACATTAAAACAGAAAATATATTACTCTAAATACAAATGAACAAAAATATTAAAAATGTAAAATACTTTCTTTGCAATAAAATACATTAACTGAAAAAAATGAAAAACATTTTATTTAGTTTTACTTATTTTGAAGCAGAAATTAGTAAAACAGCCATATTAAAACAAATAGGTAAATCACTAAATCACTAATAAAATTTTGCATAATGGTTCATTATCCATCCAACATGCATTAAATACAATGCTATTCAATTAATGGTTATTTTAATATCCTAATAATAATAATAATAATATTTTTTTATTATTTTAATAACAACTAAATCTTTCTATCCAGCAAGGGTTTTCAGACCTGATGAAGTTTGGGAAGGCCTGAGCAGATCTTGCTGGCTGTTATGTAATAAACTTTACCTAATGCACCAGTCCCTTTAAATTTTAAAACATTCAGCAAAGTCCCTCCTGCAGAAACAGCGTTACTCTACAGCGGGTAACCAGAGACACAGCCAGTTCCTCTGGCCTTCCAGCTCCAGGGAGTGTGTGTGTGTGTGTGCGCGCGCGCGCGCGTGTGTGGGGGGGGTGCATTTCATTCAACGTTGACTGTCAACCAATCCTCAACTTACTCAACAGCTGTAACCTCCCACCACAGAGGAGCTCAATGTCCAGACACCACATGAACTCCTGGCAGTGAACAGACCCCAGCACAGCCCTGGAGCTCCAGTAAAGCCCTCACTCAGGAGCAGGTAAGTGCTCTTTTCTTTCTTTGAACTACAATATGGTTGAATGACTATTAGTAACACAATTGACGTGGGCTAGGTGCAAACCGCAGAAGACACAAAGACACACACACACACAAACACACACACACACACACACACACACACACACACACACATTTTGATCATAAAGACCACGTGGCACAGAGAAAAGACGTTCATTCTAATGGAGAAGGTAGTGAAAACGGCAGGATTATAATATTTGATGACTAATATTTTTACTGACATTTGATAACATGCTGACTGAAGTGACTTGGGAAAAATCAATCTATTAATTATACTCGATATATTTAATGCACACCACTGAGTAATTCTTAAGGATGCTTTGAGGATTTACAACAATACCCTTAGAAATATTTCGCATGTTTTATTAAAGTAAAAGTGTAGTAGTGGCCATGTTTTTGTCGAATGGACTATCATTTGTTTATTTACATACTTTGAAAACCATTATCAATAAACTATGGTAAGCGTGGCAAAGGTAATTTGCGGTTTAACTATTTTATATTTGTTGTGATACCAATGTTAACTCTCGTAAGGGTTACGCTTAGTAACGTAACGTTAAAATGATGAGGATATAACGTTCTGAAACATTGTGTGCTCTTTATTTTAGAAAGACTAATAATACTCTATAAAAAATCTATAAATGGCATGGAATTTGAATACTGTCAAAAGTTACTTCATGACTTATTATAATATTTCGAGAATTTGTTTCTCACCTAATGCTGTTCGATGGTTTATGTGAAAGTAGTTCAGTCGTTGTTTGCATCTAAGCCAATGACTGTAAAAAATGTTGAAATGTCGTTTCCCGCCGCCTCTCTAATGACGTCTCCATGTGGTCACGCCTCTTTTCAGATTTCTAGAGCGCGCATGCCCTGTCAGATTATGAACTGATTACATATCAGGCCCGTAGACTAGCCAGTCTGGTGAATGGGGTGCTTCTTTTTTCTCAAGAAGTGGACATTTTTGCAGTTATTCCCCTCATTTTTTATTTAATTATGAGATTTAAATGCTACATTTTGGTGACATTTAAGCACTATTTGGCTGGACTAACTTATCGGATGGTCACCATAACCACAGTTTTTGATGTACAGTACCAAACATATATTACAAATTTATTACATTATATTTATCAAAAAAGTTTTAAATTGTAGCCTTTTGTCATTTATTAGGCAAAGAGCAAACTGGCCACAATTCCTCAGTATAACTTTCCTGAGTCAAAAATTGGTGTGGAAAATTGGTGTTTTCCAAGATTTGAATAAAAGTTACATGTCAAATGTTTTCTCCTTTTAAAAACAATACGGTAGTGAAATATGACTGCTTATGTCAGATGTTTTCTTGCACAGCTGGATGTTGGACTCTTAAAATTTAATGGATTTTGCATTGGCCAAAACTGATTCACTGACGTCACACCAGGATTCTGCTTGGTCTTCAAGCCTTGTTTGATGGGTTATTTTTACTATTTATGATGGCATAGCAGGCAAACTAGGACAAATGAGCTAATGTATGGGACAAACTTTGGACTTTTGTTAGTGAGAGGTGGGTTTTTTCGAAGCACGGACCTGCATGTAATGGACAGTTAGACCCCTCTGTTCTTTCCTTTGTACATGAGACATGGAAAAATATATTGAAATAAGTGATTCTGATGTTTAGTCAGTGTTTGGGCCAGCAGAGAAGGCTTCTGAACTGTGAATTGTGTGCAATTGTCTACAAACAAACAGTATCCAAGCCAATTAATGTGAAACATGGTCACAGGGTTGAAGTTTTAATGCCTAAATTTAACCAATAAAGTAACTGTAAAATAATTTAGCATATTAAAACCTGTTTAATCATTTGAATGTTTTTTGCAGTGTTTACTTTTATTTTAATACTATTCTACCTACTATTAATTATTCATTTATTAATATTAATTATTTAGCATTAGCTTTAATTTAACTTTGACCAATTTTAGGTATTTGGCATTAAGAGTAAATTCCCAACGCAACATTTCTAATTTTTATTATTGCAAGTTTATAATGATCTTGTACAGTTCTTATATATTTCAGCTCTATTTTAACAAAACAACACTGGTCTTTGGCACACATCACATTACCAAAGCTAAACCTTCTATCCCAAGCCTGATAAATGAAATCGTTAAGCTATTATTGCAGTTGTTTGATGTTTGAAAATATTTGTTTAAAGAATTATCAACCATGTATGTTTAGGTTTTTCCATCTTCAGCATTGTCTAAAATTAAACATTTCTTGGTTGCATTGGGGAGAAGTCTCTTTGCTAGGGGTGAACAATAAGAGTTTTTTCTAAATAAAGTTTATACTGAAGGATATGAGCAGCTATAAAAGCTCATTTGCTTAAGAACACAATTTAGCTTACATTAATCTCTTTCACATTCCTAGGTCGCAGGTGAAAATGGCACAGTGGATTTTCCGACTGAGAAGTTGCTTCGGCTCTAAAGTTTATTCCGAGGTCCCAGATGGTGGTTGGGGTTGGATTGTGGCTGTGGCGTTTTTCCTGGTAGAGGTGTTCACTTATGGGGTTATCAAAAGTTTTGGAATCTTCCTTAAGGACCTAATGAGTGACTTTAATGAAACAAACAGCCGAGTATCATGGATCATTTCAATATGTGTCTTTGTTATGACCTTCACAGGTGAGAACTTTAACTTTTACATTAAATCGTTTAGCCAATGTTTTTATCTCTAGCTATTCCGAAATTGAAAAGGCAAAACAATAGAAGCAATCAGACCAAGTTAACAAAAATATGTACCTTTAAGTAGTATGACAAGTGCCAGTTATTCTAACGGTTTAAAGAAAATTATTTAAATAAATAATTTAAGATGTCTTGACATAGTCGAGTCACTTCTTGAAAGGCTAAAGACTGTTCAGGCTGAGTTAGCATGGGAAAGCTTTTTTTAAACACAAAAAAATAACAGCTTCATGTTGTCTTTTTTATTTCTATGGCCTTTCAGCTCCTCTATCAACCATGCTGAGTAATCGATTTGGCTTCCAGCCTGTTGTGATGTTTGGAGGGTTTCTCATATCTCTGGGCACAATCTCAACTGCATTCACCAGCTCTATCAATCAGATGTACCTTACTATTGGGATTGTGACTGGTATGTAAAGGCTTACATGTTTGAATGGTACTCTATTGTCAACCCTTGTGTATTGTTCAAATTGACTACCCTGTTGTTATGTTGGTCACTGTTTTTGCCCTGTGCATATTTACTTATGTTCATATATGTTAAAGTGTTAAAAAATTAAAAATGAACATGTACTCATCATAAGGTTGTTCCAAACCTTTTCAGTTCAAAACCTGTTCAAAAGCTTTTCAGTGAAACCCATTTTGAAAAATGTTGGCTTCCGGTTTCTGAGATTCTTCAATATATGTCCGTTTCACCATATGAATTAAACTCAACAATCTGGAAGTTTTGAACAAGCAGAGGATGATTAAATGATAACAAAATTTTATTTGGGTTAACTATCCCTTTAAGCTGATTTACAGGTTGAATATTGTGTCTATTTCGCAATAAAAACAAATAAGTGAAGTTTATGTATAAACAAATTTCGAGAGGATCACGTGCTTATGATTGCTATCAGCTGACCCGCATTATCCAATTCACTACGATCCAATCAGATGACTCCTAAACTACTATAAATACCCTGGGGTTTATTCCATTGCTATCTTCGTTTTGAAGAGGCAGCTTCACCGTAGCTAGCTCCGTTGAAGAACCTACTCTAAACCAGCATGGACAACCAAAGCAGCTACAAGCTATCACCTACCAGCTATCACCTACCAGCTACAATCTACCAGCTACCATCTACAAATTACCAGCTATAATCTACAAGCTACTAGCTATAATTTACAAGCTACAATCTACAGCAGCAACAACAACTGCAGCAACAACAACTGCAGCAACAACAACTACTACTTCAAAACAACTCCAACAATTGCATCAACGACTTCAACAAACATCAAACCTTCCACTTCAACGCATCTGCTGTGTCTTCAACCCTATTCTCCAGCAATTGACAGCCAAAAACTCCAAAGCCATTGCAATGAAACTGAACCATTACCTTTTTCCTAGCGGTGCACATGCTATGCACATGAAGGGAAGCTTTGCAAAATAACTTTACCAAACATTTAGACTAAAACATTTATAAATCTTTTGAATAACAAGACTAGTGTAAACAATGATTTTAACTAAAGATACTTGCCTCTTGCCCGTCCACTGATCCATAACATTTAACAGCTTGTTTGCTGGAATGTTCAGCAAGCAACAGCTCAAGTCATAAACAATGGTGAACTTGATCAACAAAATGGCCGCCGGGCTTTTTCACCTTTGGCACGCTTGACTGGCTCTCCTTTAAGCCAATAGCTGTAAGGAGAAGCGTCACCACCCAATAAGCTCTCTGGAGAAGGTCCTGCCCTATCTCTTGACTCTGTTGCAAGTCTTATGAATGAATTTGGACCAGACAAGCTTGTGAATGAAGTTAAGATATCAACAAATGTTATTCATGGATTAAAGTAAAGCCAATTACTAACATTCCATTCACAGTTTTACTAAGTGGTGACATCGCCCTCGAAGTCTTATAGAGTTCAGAGTTTGATGTTAGCAATAAAAAAAAAAAAAAAAAAAAAATTATACACAGAGCACTGGGGTCCAATTACACTAGACCAGTGACTCATTTATTCATACACTAGTGTCTTATGTAAGCTTATAATGGCAAGTCAGTTGGATGTGAAACAGCAACAAACAACTTCCTGATTGGCTGCTATGAATAGGAGGACATTTCTGACAACGGATCTTCATTAAACACTTCCAGGACCACCAGACAAACCATACCCCTTATCCTCAGCTCTCCTTCCAGTTGCCATTCTGTGGGGGGATGAATGCTCACCTCTACCATCCTTGCACGTAGCGACATCAAGCTATCAGATCATGCATTAATAAAAAGACCATGACATTTGGCTGCAGAACCTGACCCTCATCCAACCCATTACATTTTTTTATGCTCTTCAAATACAATCACACTCTACATAAAGGATGCATTTCCACTCACATAGCTCACATCCACGATGCCATATTTCTCAAATTGCTTGAATTGCATTGTCACCCTGATACTAACTTCTGATTTCTGATTTCAGATCTAACCCAAGGATCTAACCCGGGCGTTTCAGCTCTCCCTTCCTTAACCTTATTCTGCTCCAATCTACAATCTGCGACTACCGAACCTGCAACAGTGAATTCGTTAATCAAAAAGAATCGATAATAAACTCATGATAGTACTATTCTTGCCCCACTGTTCAGCGTTCTTGTATTAGTCCCATTGACATTGCGACTTGAGAATTCTCTAGCAAAAACCCTTGATTATTGGTCTCCGCTCCTCACAATTCTATATCCCTAGCATTAACAGCACCATTCCATCAGACGAATACTCGCTGAATTATCATGATATAGACCAAGCAATTTCGCTCATCAGTTTAGCCGGCCGCAATGCTTGGCTTGCAAAAATCGACATTTCATCCGCCTTTAAAATCATGCCAATTCACCCAGACTTCTGGCACCTTTTTGGCATTCATTGGCGCTCACAATTTACTTTGCAGTTCGATAAACTTTCGGCTGCAAAAGTAGTCCTAAAATTTTCGATATGCTTAAGAAGCATTATGCTGGATTTTATCTAATAACTACGAAATCCCGCATATCATCCATCTCCTCAATGATTTTCTCCTTATTTCCCTACCTTCTTCACCCCCAGCTAAACACCTATCGATCACCCAAAAGGTTTTCGAAAATCTAGGCATCCCCCTCGCAGAGGAGAAACAGCCGGTCCCAGCACTTCCATAGAATTTCTGGGCATCAACTTAGATTCGAATAAATTTCAAGCATCCCTTCCCAAAGAAAAGATTGACCGTATAATCTCTTTATCTCAAATTTTCCTCGAGAAACAATCATGCACCAAACGCGAACTGCTATCTATTCTCGCGCATTTCAATTTCGCGATGCGCATAATTCCCCAAGGCCGCCCGTTTATTACTCACCTCCTTCAGCTCTCCTCCTCGGTCCCCGGTTTAGAAGATACCATATATCTTTCTAAACCCAGTCGCAATGAACGCAGCTTATGGATCTCCTTCCTCAAGCAATGGAACGGCTGTTCCTTTTTCTATAGCGACCTAATTTCTTCCCCGGTGGATATTAATTTATTCACTGACCCTGCCCCCTCAGTCGGGTTCGGCGGCTTTTACCAAGGTCACTGGTTTACTTCAACGTGGCCCCCGCAGATGCTCAGTCTACCCAGAAATCAGCAATCATCTGCGCTTTCGAACTCTACCCCATAGTCGCAGCAGCGCTTTTATGGGTAGATGAATGGTCCGCCTCTAGCATTCTCGTTCATTGCGACAACGAAGCCACCGTTTATTGCATTAATAAAGGACGCTCGCACGCACTTCCAATTATGCCCTTATTAAGACGCCTCGTTTGGACGGCAGCCAAAAAGCAATTCATTATGACTGCTAGACATGTTCCAGTTTGCAAAAAAAAAAAAAAAATCAAATTGCTGATTCTCTCTCTCACTTTCTTTTCCAGAAATTTCGGCTCTTGGTACCGGAAGCAGACCAGCATCCAACACCTGTTCCACTCTATTCACAAATGATATTGCCATAAAACTTCCATATCTCTGATCCTTCACGCTGTCGCACCAAGGACCCTTGAGTCATATTCAGAAATGGCTATCACATCCAATTTCAATCCCGCAATACACCCCACTATATCTGTTCTAACACTGCTGAATGCTGAAACACTCGCCTTTTTCATTAAGCAAAGCAAAACAGATAAGACAAGCAAAGGGCATTTTATTTACATATTTAACATTTTTCCCCCACACAGCCATTCCAAACTCTCCTAGCCTTTCTCCATTCAAGGAGAGCAAAGGAGTCAGACCCACATGCCCCACTTTTTACTGATGACGCTAACCGTCCAGTAACCCGTTTTTGGTTTCAAAAAACATCTGAAAGAAGTCCTTCGCCTTTCGGGCGTTCCCCCGAATTGTATTCCAGCATTCATTTAGAATTGGCGCAGCCACCACAGCAGCTCACAAAAGTCTATCCTCGCACCAAATCCAGACCCTAGGCCGCTGGTCCTCTGATGCCTTCAAAGCTTACATTCGCCTCAGCCGATCCCACCTCAAGACAGCCCAGCTAGCCCTAATCAGCTAAATTCCAAACTCCAACTAGGGGTACGAGCTCGACCCTAAGTAGGCTGGAGTACGTGTGCGTGTGTGCTTGTGTATGGGTGCGCATGGGAATGTGTGAGGTTGCTCGCGCAGATACAGCGTGCGTTTGCACACGTATACATGCTTATTTGCACGTGGATATGTATATGGGTGTGGGCGTACGTCTAGGTATGCATATGCACGTGCAAGCAAATGAGTATGTGAGCCTATGGGCATTACATGTTGTGCAGCTTGCATGTATGCTATTAACTTTCCTTTCAATCTGCTATGCTCCTTCTCTCACCATGCTCTGACCCCCGCAGGGGTCCAATCTGAGCTTCGACTCTCGCGAGTCACCCCTAGCCCATCCCCGGCCACCCCTTCACTACTTCACTACCACCTCCAGTAAGAGCCTGCACTACCCCCTCCCTCTTCCCGACTCTTACTGCCCCCCCCATAGCTCTGACCCCCGCAGGGGTCGCGCTGAGCTTCGACTCTCGCAAGAGTCACCATTTGCGCCGCCCCACCCAGGCCATTAGAAATGGTATGTATGCGCATGTTATACGCATACATCCGATGTATACCTGTTCCGATGCGTGTGCATGCACATGCCGAAACAGGAATAGACGCACGTGCATGCTCACGCACGCAGGTTATTCCCTCTCTCCTTTTCTTCCTTTGGCGTCGAGTTCCTCCGCCCTCTCTTTTCTTCCTTTCTCATAGGCCATCAATCCTCAGCTCTAACTCCCGCAGGAGTGACTAAAACGAGCTTCGACTCTCGCAAGAGTCCCGCCCCGGCCACCTCCTGCTGCAGTCTCCACCACCCCCTCCCTTTCCCAGACTTCAGCAGGGGAAATGCCCACAGCAGCTCTGACCCCCGCAGGGGTCGCTCCGAGCTTCGACTCTCGCAAGAGTTAATCACCACCCATGCCCGGCCCTTACCATGTAATAACCATATATATTCATATATATTTATATATGCATATATACTTCTATATTCTCCTTTTCTTCTTTCTGGCGTTGAGATTCTCCGCCTGGCAATTATTTGCCCCTTCTTTCTTCCTTACAGCGTGAGTGCTTCCGCTACTTTTACCCTTCTCCGATCTTCCCCCTTATCTCCTTACCCTCCTATTTCCTCAATTCTTTTCCAGCGTTGAGTTCTCCGCTAACTGTCTTTCTTTCAGCGTCACTCTTTCGCTATGTTCTTCCTTACGCTTAGGCCCTCAATCCTCAGCTCTAGCTCCCGCAGGGGCGACTAAAACGAGCTTCAACTCCCGCCGGAGTTCAGGCCCTGGCCACCTCCCACCCTCTCATGCAAGAGTCTCCACCGCCCAAATCTTCCCGACTCTTGCTTGAGCAAACTAACCCCAGCTCCCACCCCCGCAGGGGTGTATATATATTTGAGCCTTGACTCCCGCGGAGTCAATCCAGCCCTGCCCTCACCCCGCCTAAGCTCTAGCAGCCTACTTTGCTCTGCTCCCTTAGAAGCTTCTCTTCCTAAGCTATCAACGCTATATCCAGCAGCCGGATATGGCTTGTTACACCTGCTTTTTGGGGGGCTCTTCAATACGCGGCTGCTGTCCCGAGCTATTCAAAGGCATTTTTGGGGAGTTCTCGAGATCTACCTGAGCTCAAACTCCCCTCCCGCTTTGCAACGGGAGGGAGCCCTGGGCTCGAGGATCTCATGAGCTCAGGGCTCTCTCCCGGGACAGCATGCCAAACAAGCTTATAATTAATCATCAGCTAAGTGTGAACTCTTGAAGTGAAGTTTATGTATAAACAAATTTCGAGAGGATCACGTGCTTATGATTGCTAGCAGCTGACCCGCATTATCCAATTCACTACTATCCAATCAGATGACTCCTAAACTACTATAAATACCCTGGGGTTTATTCCATTGCTATCTTCGTTTTGAAGAGTCCCCCCTTCCTCCCCTACGCCTCCTTCTTAGACGGGTGACACGGTGGCCCAGTGCCTAGCACTGTCGCCTCACAGCAAGAATGTCTCTGGTTCCTGGCTTTACCAAAACTAGCAGACATTTCTGTGCGGAGTTTTGCACTTCTCCCCGTGCTCACGTGGGTTCCCCGGTTTCCTCCCACCGCCTAAAAACATGCAATTAAGCCAATTGAACAAGCCAAATTGTCATCATAGACACGCTCCTAGTTAGTAATTAGTTTGAAGAGCATTCACTTGCTACAGCAGGGGAGTTCTCGAGATCTACCTGAGCTCAAACTCCCCTCCCGCTTTGCAACGGGAGGGAGCCCTGGGCTCGAGGATCTCATGAGCTCAGGGCTCTCTCCCGGGACAGCATGTCAAACAAGCTTATAATTAATCATCAGCTAAGTGTGAACTCTTGAAATAAAGATTGATTTACTGGCTGTAAAGAAAGTAAAGATGAACAAAGCATCTAATTATTTTCAGATGTCCTTTAATCTCCGTAGGACTGGGTTATTGTTTGACATTTCTACCAACCGTCACAATCTTGTCCCAGTACTTCAGCAGGCGTCGTTCTGTGGTCATAGCCATGGCATCCACTGGAGAGTCATTTGCTACATTTGCTTTCGCTCCAGGTAAGAACAGGCACTAGTACAATATGCTAGCATTACATGTTATGTGTGATCATGAAAAATAATATTACAATCCTACCCAGCAATCAACTTTGTGTTTAAAAGACGTCTAATAAACATAAATGTAGACAGCCTGGCTAAAACAAGGCTAATCTTGGGCTGTCAGTGAAAATCCATAGACATCTAAAAACAGCCCAAAACTAGACTAGTCGTCAAATAAACAGACTTTATGTGTATTCATTCATTTCTGTCTATCCTATTCTGTCTACATTTCTAAGATTTTCACGGACAGCCCAAATTTAGCCTTGTTTTAGCCAAGACAACTGTTTAGATGTTTATTAGACATCTATGAGACATCTTTTAAAAACAAGAAAATGCTTGGTGGGTACAGACTTACACATTGCTTTTTTATCTCTGCAGCATTCACAGCTCTTAAGAACTACATCGGCCGGAGGTACACATTGGTGGTGATTGGGATGTTACAGGGCATCACTATTATCTGTGGAGCTTTACTTCGTCCCATAGTTATCAAACCAACATCTCTGACAGAAACTGAGCAGAAGATCACATATACCCTCCCTGTAGAACAAGTGCAAGGTTTTGGGAGCTCTGGAGATTCAGTTGTACAGTCGCTTGAGCAAGAACAGGGCCTCAAATCTGGGATTGAACTGGAAGAAGTGGAACCAGTACAGATTAATCTAAAACAACAGGACAATACAAGTAAAAATAGGCTCTTGGATTTGACAGTGCTAAAAGAAGGCAGTTTTTTGTGTTATTCAGCCTTTGGGCTCTTTGCAACATTGGGCTTTTTTGCGCCACAGCTGTATGTGGTGGAGCTGAGTGCCAGTTTGGGAACTGAGAGGGACAAGGCTGCCTATATGCTGTCAATAATGGCGATCTCAGAGATCTTTGGACGTCTTTCTATCGGATGGGTCATGAATTGTGGATGCATCAGGAAGATCTTTGTTCTTCTCATATGTGTGTCACTGATGTGTCTGGTGCTGGTGTTGTTCACCATTGTAAATGGCTTCTGGGGACTGGTGGTGTGCTGTGTGCTTTATGGTTTCTTACTCGGAAATATCACTTCCACACACATCCCAATGCTGGCAGAGGATGACGTTGTAGGAATCCAGAGGATGCCCTTAGCTGTTGGTGTCTACGTCTGCATTCAGAGCTTTGCAGGACTGGCTGGTCCACCATTAGGAGGTAAGAATAAGTGTTTTACATAACCATTAAATGTTTGGGGTCAGTAAGTTTTAAATAAATTTTACTGTATTTTTAAATTATTTTATGCTATCCAAGTCAGCAGTTTATACCACAAGAAAAAATTTTTCTATTTTAATATTTTACATTTATTTATTTCTGTGAGAGCAAAGCTGAATTTGTGAAGGGAGAACTTACACTATTAAACATCAAACAAAAGGACCCTGGAAGTAAAGACAGTGGTAAAGTAAGAGCCCATACAGGGTCTCAAACCAGAAAACAGAGAGTGGGAGAAGAAAGCCCCAAAACAACGCCAGGGGAGCTGCTGACCTTGACAAAACCAAAGGCAAAGAAGGCAAACAAAAGAGTAGGTTTATAGCTAAAGAGTAATAAGGGAGGCAATTGGTTCTCTGTCCCAGTCAAATAGACACCTTGATTGGTGGCTCTGGGAGAATCCATGCAGTTGACACATGTTTCTGAACAAAGTGGTGGTAGACTCTAGCTCCAGAGTGAACATAATGGCTGGCTCTGGCACTTGGTCCATGGCAGGCATTAGTCTCAAGGGTGTCCAGTCCTTTTCCAGGAGGATCAGTGGCTGAGGTGAAGGCATGGGCCCAGAGCCATGAAGCATAACCAGAGAATCCATGCATCATGGAAGAGTTAAGGGCTGGAAAACTCAAGGCTGAGCTAGACAGAACCAGCAGAGGGGGAGAAGCCAAGGAGTTGTAAGGGCCATTAGATGAGACAAATTCAAAGCTAGAATCTGAGACAAATAGTTTGAATGAATGGATGGAATACATGGAGCATAAATGATTTTATACAGGAAAGAGGCTTGAGGCTTTTTTGATCCACTTTAAATGTTGACTATTGTAAACTGTCTTAAGGTATAGGTAGCAACATTTGAAAGACATAGATTCAAAGTGACCCCAGGACACCAGATGACTGAGCTGGAGGAACTGCTCCATGTAGTTTTCTAGTAAACTGCTAATTTGAGAGAGAAGGAAGCAAGTCATCAAATCTGAACAGGTGGTTACTCTGCTGTGTTCATGATGTGTCTTGATTTCTGTCATGTTAATTTACAACAGACATGACAATACAAGATACATAAAACCCCAGAAATCTGAAAAGACTGTTGATAAATTTGATGGTGTGCAGTACTAATATACATGTGTGTGTGTGTGTGTGTGTGTGTGTGTGTGTGTGTGTGCGTGCATGCGTGTGTGTCTGTAAACTAGTAACCAACAGTAAACAAGACAAGAAAAATGGAGACAGCAGATTAGTAATGGGGTTGTAATGTTCGCCACATCAAATGCATTCCCATGTTTTATCTGGATGAAGGGATAACGAAAGTCTCAAGAACACCAATTAAGAAATACTTATTTAACTGCAACCTTTATGAATAAAAGCAAACTTTTTAATTGTATTGACCCCAATCATTTAATATGTAGTGTATATAAAATGAAAATGTCAAGCAACTTACTGTATTTCCTCCCAAATATTGTAGGCGTCCTTGTGGATATTACACAAAACTACAGTGCTGCATTCTACTCCTGCGCTGCAGGAATGGGATTAGGTGCCATTTTCCTTGGGCTTGTACGTCCAGCCAAGACAGGTCATCTTTGCAGAAGGAGGAACAATGGAGAGAATAACTCTGCGGTGGAGCAAGTGTCTAAAGCAAGCCAGAGGAATTGCTAGAACAGGGTAACCAAGAAGTTAAGTCTTGAAAACACAGAACATTAGGAACTATCAAACCTGTTGATATAATAGGAACACTTTCAAACTGAATGTACTGGAACTTTGCCTACGTTATAATTCATGAGAATTGGGTAAAACGTTTTTCACCCAAAATGAAAATTCTGTCATGAATGACGTAGAAGAACCAATATTGTTCTATTTTTGTTCATCTACGGGTGGTCTTCATTTACCTACATTTATTGTGGTTTAAGTGTGTTTTGATTAATGTTTAAATGCAAAGAAAAGTTTCATTAAATTATTGTAGTTTTTATTCCAAAAATAAACCAAAATTTGACATGACAGTGTACATAATGACAGAAATGCCATATTTGGGTGAACCATTCTTCCATTTTCATTCATTCATTTTCTTGTTGGCTTAGTCCCTTTATTAATTTGGGGTCGCCACAGCAGAATGAACCGCCAACTTATCCAGCAAGTTTTTACGCAGCAGATGTCTTTCCACCCTCAACCCATCTCTAGGAAACATCCACACACACATTCACACACACACTTATACACTATGGACAATTTAGCCTACCCAAACACATACAAACACCATTTGGAATGACTCTAAACACTGCTTCTCTGTTCTAGAAACAGAAGAAATGACCTTCAACAGCAAACCCCATTTCGTGGTTTTACAAATTATTGCCAAAATCTATGGATGCTTATAGCCACTGATAGCTAAAGCATTGACCAAAGATGTTTAAACTCATTGAAAAAACAATCTAAATTGTAAAGAGATGTTATATATATATATATATATATATATATATATATATATATATATATATATATATATATATATATATATATATATATATATATATATATATATATATATATATATATATATATATATATATATATATATATATATATATATATATATATATAGTGATAAATAGCTCTTTATTGACTCTTTATGAACTAAATGCTAAACCCAGGTAAACTACAGTATTTTAATAATCCTAGCAGTTTGTTTAGGGTGTTGTTTGGTCTTTTCTACAATGATTCTTCAACTGTGAATGAGATTTGCATCTCTGTTATATAGAGAGAATTGTGAATTCAAAACATTACAGAGCACAGTTTGATGGAACTGTGCAACAAGGAAGAAAGATGTACAAAATAATGCAATGGCAAATTCAAATGTGAATGTTTCTTACGAATGATGACTTTCATCATTCACCTCTCTTAGAAAAACTGTATTTCTTTTGTAATATTACTATTGGAAAAGAATTGTATTTGTTGTATCTTCAGTGGAATGTGATGTGAATATGCAATGATCTCTTCTGTTTCTGCACAATATTTTTTTTTTATTACAATCTTTTAATCTGACTGAAGAATAAATACACACCTTTTAGCTGCTGTCTGAATTTGATTTCTTGTTTAACAGACACCTTCAGAAAAAGCCAAATACAAACGAAAGACAAACAAAAATTTATTAAGTTTGATCTATACATACAAACAAATCTAAAGTATTTGTTATGAACACGTTTACTAGTATTTACTCAGCAGACTCACTAAAGCTCTTTATAAGATTGTGCAAATAGCATGTCTTAACTTATCTTAACAATATATATATTGTCGGCAGATAGCAAAAGTTCAACCTGGCTGGTTCATGATGCTTCACCTTCCAATACTTGTAAGCACTTGTAAAACCAGTGTGTGTACTCCTGGAAGGCTTGTGTGGCTTTTGAGTTTTGAGTCTATCAGCTCCATCTTCAATCCAATGCAGTAATGCCTTTAGAGAACATAATAACATTCTGTAACTATAGTATGTTTCTGATTCACCTCATATGCTCAAATGTTCACAACAGAATATTGCTATTGTTCACTGTATCCACCTTTTTCCACATGTGACTACTGTGTTTCTAAATGTAGGACTTCCATCAAAAGAACAAATCATCATTTTAAATAATAAGGTTGTGCTAAAAAATAATCTTTATACAGGCATGTTTGGCTTTGTGGTTCATTTTAATTCATCATGAAAATTAGATTACTGAAACCAGTAACACAAGTTTATTCATGGTTTAAGCTCTTTTGAGATTACTGTTTTATTCCTTGAGGTTATTTTCTCACTGTATTCCTATATTACAGTAATATTTAAAGAAACACTCCACTTTTGGAAGAAAATAAGCTCATTTTACAACTCCTATAGAGTAAAACCAGTGGCATTTTACTATTTTTCAACCCATTCAGCCAATCTTTGGGTCTGGCGGGAGCATTTTCAGCTTAGAATAGTTTACTGAGTTTGATTAGACCATTAGTTTTACTTACCTAGCAAAATAAATTACCCTCTAGTTCTTTCATAACTTATTAAGATGCTTAGATGAGATTAAAAACTAGAATTTTTTTTACATTAAATGAAGATAAGACAGAGGTTATTGTTTTTAGCCCTACTGCTAATTTTCAGGCTACATGCCTAGATCTGGTCTGCATCTCTGCCTTCAGATCCTCTCGAGTGCAGAATTTGGTTGTCATTTTTGATGAGTCATTGAAACTAGACAAACTTATCAGTTCTATTATTGGTTCCAGCTTTTATCAACTCCTGTGCAGTTAAACACTTTTTAAATACCACTTTTCGGGGTTTTAAATCCCACTTCACGGTTAAATTACTGCAACACACTTTACTCTGGCATCTCTAAATCACAAATTTATCACCTAACATTGGTCCAAAATGCTGCTGCTAGATTCATTTAAAATAGTAATCTGAGGGGCCTCCATTTGCTGCCCATCCAATTCAGAACCAATTTTAAAGTTCTTTTACTGGTGTATAAAACCCTACATAGTCTAGCCTCACATTATCTTTCAGAGCTGTACCATTTTTCTACTCCCGTGAGATGTTTAAGGACCAGTGAACAAAATATTGCTTTAATTCCCCATTCCAGACTAAAACATAGAGGGGACAAAGCTTTTTCTGTGGCTGGTCTGGGATTGTGAAACAATCTGCCCCATGAGATTAGAATGGCACCATCACCATCTATTTTTAAATAACTTTAACCATACTGATTCAGTTTTATATTATAATATTAATATTAAACTGTTAATAATAATTATAATATTAACATTATATTAATAGTTCTGTCGATTGCTTTATTTATAAATTATATATATATATATATATATATATATATATATATATATATATATATATATATATATATATATATATATATATATATATATATATATATATATATATATATATATATATATATATATATATATATATATATATATATATATATATATATATATATATATATATATATATATATATATATATATATATATATATATATATATATATATATATATATATATATATATATATATATATATATATATATATATATATATATATATATATATATATATATATATATATATATATATATATATATATATATATATATATATATATATATATATATATATATATATATATATATATATATATATATATATATATATATATATATATATATATATATATATATATATATATATATATATATATATATATATATATATATATATATATATATATATATATATATATATATATATATATATATATATATATATATATATATATATATATATATATATATATATATATATATATATATATATATATATATATATATATATATATATATATATATATATATATATATATATATATATATATATATAGATATATATATATATATATATATATATATATATATATATATATATATATATATATATATATATATATATATATATATATATATATATATATATATATATATATATATATATATATATATATATATATATATATATATATATATATATATATATACACACACACACACATTTTATTGTATTTTTGCCCATTCCTTTTGAAATACAAGAAATCCTTTATTTCTCTGCCCATTAGTTAATTGCAACGTGTCATTTTGTGAGGACTACGCCCTCTGTAGGTTGATTTTGTAGTCTGTCTCTCTTTGCAAATTATTGAAGAAATTAAAGCAGCTTACACAATAAAAAGGGGTGGAGTGTGGTCGGGGGTATTGGGGG